AAAAAAGCAAAACATACAGAAAACAAGAAATGGAAGATCATTTGCTGACAATAACATGTTTGTTGATGTGCTTGATTGAGACAATATACAGTGTACTCTGGATGGAAAATCTCATTTTGTATGCTGTAATGATGTGCAGTGAATGAATGCAAATAAATAAATTGAAATAAAAAATAATAATAAAAAATAATAATAAAGTATTGCTTAATTCAAAAAAAAGAAAGGCTTTTTTACTTATTTTATTATTATCATTATTATTATTAACATTTAATCACCAGACATCTTTATTGTAAACAACATGGCTTTTCCTAGCATAAATACAGTGCATATCAGTTGAGAAGCTGCTGCTTTCTGTCTGATGGTTCATTTCCAGAGGTACAGTGGAAGTGAGCAAATTTTTTATAATCTAACATTAACAGGAGAGCATAGAATGTTCCATAACCACAACTGGGAAAAGAATCCATATGGAAAAGATTAACTTAGATTCTCATCACTTATTGTAATAAAAAAAAGTTGATTCCTGGTATTTTAATATCTTGGAAAGCAAAAATGAAATACTACAAATCTCACTAGATAATTTATGTAAATAACTTTGGATCTCACAGACAACTATCTCCTGAGAAAGACAAAAATAATGTTTTAAAATAAATTATTGATAATTTCTACTAGATTCAATTTGAATTTTGTCATCAAAAATCACATTTCTAGTTGAGCGAATGAATTGTAACAACCTATCCAATGCCTCTGTCTTCTCTGCTCTCTATTTGGGTCCTACTGCAATTTTGAAATATATAAAGGGAAAACTTCTGGATAAATCGGACTTTGTTTCATATGTTTCTCTCCTTCAAGAAGCATAGCCTACAATTGATTGCTGTCCAATACTTGAACACAGTATTTTTTGACTTTTTTTAAAGGTTTTTGCCATAGGATGTGTGTTCTCACTCACCGGAGATAAACAGAGAGACAGACAGAGGGAAAGGAGGGGCTGCAATCTCTTCTCCTCCATTCTGTTAGGGATTTGGGGCACACACAGGCACACATGCCTGGCATGATTTTCAAGCCACCAGGTCCAGTACTCAAATCACAATTGGCCATGTGGGAATTGAGACACTCTAACCACCACACCACCCACTGGCCTTCTTGCATGTTTTTCTTAATTTACATTTAATCATTATATATCTTTACAGTGTACGACATTGCTTTTTCCAGCACAAAAATGAAGCATGTCAGTCAAGACAAAGACATTTCCATATAGATTATCGTCAGCAAATAACTTTTCATTTTTGTGTCATTTAAGTGTCTTGTTTTTCCCTTGTTCCCTTCCCTCCCTCGCTCTATTACCCACCCCTGTATTACCCCTACCCCTCATTATTGTTTGCAGAAGAATAGATAAAACTTATGCTAGCTTCTACATTAGAGACAGTATGCAAAGCCCCGTGAACTTGATACTCATCACCATGACTCATCAACACCTTTTCTGAGGTGCTTCTTAAAATAACAAGAGAAAATACATAGAGACTGCCAATGATCTGGCCTCTCACCAAGCTAAGTCAGACCTCATAGGTGACCAAATATCATATGAGGCTTTAAAAATGAGGATTGGTGCTTAACTGATGACGAGTATGATGACTGATTTCTCATTTCCAGAAAGTAGTGCTGATGGTTATTTATCAATTAGGAAAACAAATCAATTACCTTAGAAAATTTATAATACTTAAGGAACTACTTCCTCCTTGTGGCATTTGCAAATGAACTAGAGAAATTGCCATAAACAAAAACAAAAGCAAGTTCTGTTCATCTTCTCATTGGTTCAAAGTTTGGGCTACCACCTATAAAAGGAATATTAGAAAAAGAAATGTCAGATTCTAGAAAATTCACCTGTGAACAGGAATTGCCCCTCCACACCTCCACTATGTCCAGCTGCTGCTGTTCTCCTTGCTGCCAGCCTACGTGCTGCAGAACCACCTGCTGCAGAACCACCTGCTACCAGCCTTGTTGCTGTGGATCCAGCTGCTGCCAGCCCTGTTGTGGTGGGTCTAGCTGCTGTCAGCCCAGCTGCTGTGGGTCCAGCTGCTGCCAGCCCTGCTGTGGTGGGTCTAGCTGCTGTCAGCCCAGCTGCTGTGGGTCCAGTTGCTGCCAGCCCAGCTGCTGTGGATCTACTTGCTGCCAGCCAGCTTGCTCTGCACCTGTGTACTGCTGTAGAACCTGCTACCTTCCCACGTGCGTCTGCCTGCCTGGTTGCCTAGCCCAGGGCTGTGGATCCAGCTGCTGCCAGCCTTGCAGTTGTTGATCAACTTACCATAGACCCACTACCTAAATTGAAAAAACTTTGATCATCAGACCTGCCAGATACTCATTTCTGCAACAACTTATCCCCCTTTCTCTAGTAATAACACACACGGTCATCACACAGTCATTCACTGTCTTGTTAAGAGACTTGTGAGTTTACTCAGAAACTTGTTTCACTCTCTTTGATGAACAGGTTGCTGGTCAACTTTGTTCTTGACCTGGATTCATGGTACCAGCCTTGACAAGGTGATATTTGCCTTTTCACAATAAATAATTTAAAACAATGGAAACACTCATAACTATTACTAGATCTTTTCAATGATCAATATCAATCATGTCATTTCAATATACTCATCATTTTCTGAATCTTTCATGACAACTTTGCATTATTTTCCTAGTTAAAAGAAGTATTACCTATTTGTTTCCTAATAAAGTTTTCACTGTATTTCCTCTGGTATTCTGCTTTATTTTGTTTCATTTCATGGTTTTTTTTTGTTGTTGTTGTTTTGTTTGTTCATTTTTTTTTTTTTTTGCATTTCACATGTGATATCTCATCTGAGTCACATAGTATCCCTAAACCTGGACAGAACCAAGATCAGTAACATGAGTTGCATCATATCACAGAGCTAAGGATAAACAGAATCAGGTCCAGGCCCCAGGTTTTCTGATTCCAGCTCTGGTGCAATGACATCCACATCTTCTTGTAAGTAGATATGACAGAGGGGACCAAGCACTGGGAAGATGCATACGTTACATTATTCTCTGGACATGGAAACTCCAACTCTTTATATTTGCAGATCACTTTCCATTAATATTTACCTTCCCAAATTCATTCCCTGTACCTGTACCTATGTGACCAGTAGCCAAACTCAAGACCAATAGCTGATCTTAAGAGCCCTGGTAACTGATAAAAGATGTGAATCTTTTACCATTTCCATTCCCATTCAGCCATTGCTAAAATGTCTTTAACATTTTTGAGAATTTATTTTGTTCTTGCTGCTGTCCACTTTGATGTGAGAGGCTTATCTATAAATATTTTATTGTTGATATCATGGAAATGGAATTCTTGTCTGGCCTCATTCTCAGGTCACTTGTACAAATGGCAATAGGAGATGAAGTTATACTCTGTGAAACATAAGCCAAATTTCATTTGTAACCAGACTTTGAGCGATCCTTTGTTTTCAAGTCAAAACATTATTAAGGAAATTAAGTGATGAAAAGCCATGAGACTTAAGGTTACAATGCAGTAGGTATAGACTCCATAACTCTTGATTACCTAAGAAATAAAAACAGCTCCCTGAGTTGTTGGGAAGTAAAGATACATTAATTCAAGAAAATAAAAGTCTGAGTTTCAAAGTTAAGCAAGAATGTGAAAAGAAAAGTATGTACCTCTAGTAACAATAATCGGCTTGAGAGTGGTGCTAAAAAGAAGAATATCAGAACTTCTGAGAAAGAAAATGAATGATAGGAAATTCAAGGATTTGGTAATGTGATGTCAGGCACTGCTACAGGAAAAAAAAGAAAGGAGAAAAAGAAAGAAAGAAAGAAAGAAAGAAAGAAAGAAAGAAAGAAAGAAAGAAAGAAAGAAAGAAAGAAAGAAAGAAAGGAAGGA